TGATTTATACTTCAGAAACTCGTTGGTCTGCCCTTTGCCATCGGCCCTTGGTGCTCACAGTCCCCCTGTGGTACTTGCTGGACCGGACTGGGACTGACTGGACCTTCCGCTGACTGACTGTGGACTCACCGCTATCCTACCGACGTTGTACTGCTGTTGCACTGCGGTTTAGTCCACCACTTGCCTCTCCACTTGACCACTTGCCCACTTGCCTACCTTCTTGAAGGCCTACAACTAAGCTTCCGGAACTCACTAAGACTCCTACGCTATAGACCTACAGATCGAACCCCTGTTGCCTATGGACCGACAACAGGCCTACCAACTGCCTACGAATACACAGGTCACAGGTTCAATTCTCGGGGTCTACACAGATACTGTACATGGGTAGGGTGAGGTCTAGGGATCGAMCCCTGGGTACTGCATCCGCCACTGCTAAAAGGTGAAAACCGTTTCACTCCCGCCGTCCTAATTTCGAGGTCCTCCGAGAAAATTTCAGTCCAACGCGGGACCTTTCAGATCCAATGGATCCGGGTTTCAAAACACCCTCATAGGCTCTGACTATGTCGGGAGCAGTCTCTAGAAGTTGTGCTTTCGTGAACCAGCGGTCGTCTTCCGGTTCCTGATAGGCAAACCGGACTTTATACTCTTTTGGGGGACGACCTTTACCTCCTGTCCTAAACACATCCTCTTCTACAATGCCCTCTATGTCATAGCTCCCATCCATATCTAGTGGGAGCATGGATCTCCTGGAAGGGAACTATTGACTAGTGACACATGACAACAACTTTGAAGCATGAAACACAGGGTATGTGTGGACGTGTGTTGGAATCTCAATGTTGTAGGACGGTCCATCCTCTCTGCCCTTGACTTCTAGAGCCCGCCACGGTCCTCTATATGCAGGCAGTAACTTCTGTGAGATGTTTTCTTCCGGTGCAAACTCTTTTGCCTTGACCTAGACTAAGTCGCCTACTTGAAACTGTGATGGGCGACGCTGCTTGTTAGCCTGCTCTATCATTCTGTGTTGGGCCTTCCGAAGGTTCTCAACAACAGTGGCTAACTCCTTTTCGTGTTGTATCGCAAACTCCCTGGTATCGGGCGGTAATCTGTGAATTTGATCCCGGTTCAGTCCTTCGAACGGTCTGCGCGGTCTTAAGGACTTGTGCAAGTCGTTGGGAGTGCGGCAGGTGGATAGATGCACACTGTTGTTGTATGCACTAGCTACCTTAGGCAACATCTCATCCCAGTTAAAATCTGATCTGGTCTAATGTACATGCGCAAAACTTGTTGTAGGATCTTGTTCATATGTTCTGTCTGACCGTTAGTCTCAGGGTGACGACCTGACGACATTAACAACTTAGATCCGTAGACTCTCATGAGTTTTTGCCAGTTTTGGCTGGTGAAACGACTGTCTCTATCACTAACTATTGACACTGGGATTCCATTCTCACTAACCCAAAAGTCAAAAAACTTCTGTATAACTAAGTCCGTACGTGCCTCTGCAGGCAAAGGGACGAAAACTGCATATTTACTAAAACGGTCCACCACGACCATGACTTGACTCTTACCATGTCTACTCTTGACTTGGGTGTCCATGAAGTCTATGGACACGGAGTCTCCCGGCTGATCCGGAATAGGCAAGGGTCTGAGAAGACCTAGAGGCGCGCGTGTTCCTCTGGCACACTTCACAACTGCGGACATACTCTATGCAGTCATTCTTCATCCCTGGCCAGGTATATGCACGCATCAGGTTGGCTACTGTCTTTTGCCAACCGAAATGCCCTTCAGTATCGTGGCATTCCCCTAAAATCAAACTGTGGATCTCTTCGCTGTTGGGAACGCACAGGCGGTCAAACACATTAGTCTTCTCAAACAACAACCCGTCTGTAGTGCGGTAATCTGGTTCAGTCTCTGGGGGCTCTCTAACTCTCTTTAGGAGGTCGCTATAGATAGGGTCCTGCGCATATGCTTGCCTCACTTTCTCCTGCAGGTCTCTCCCTATATCCAGATAGTGTACTACAGCTCCAAAGTAGTCTGATCTCCTACTTCGAGCATCCGCAACTACGTTGTACTTGCCCTTCACTGGCTTGAGCTCAAAGTCGAATTGGTCTATCTCTGCGGCCCACCTAGTCAACTTAGGTGTCATCTTGGCCTGAGTCTCTAACCATCTAAGCGTTTTGTGGTCCGAATACACTTTGAAGTGCCTCCCAAGCAGGTAATGCTTCCAATGATCTAAAGCCTGCCTGAGAGCATAGATTTCTCTCTCGTACGTGGAGGCAGCAACCTTTTCACAGGGCATCCTCGTTGACATAAACTCTACGGGTCTATAGCCATTGCCGTCGTCTTGCTGCAACACGGCGCCTATCCCATACTGACTCGCGTCCGTGGTGACGACAAATGGCAAAGACGGATCTGCAACTTTGAGGACAGGATACTCTATTAACGCGCGCTTTAGCTTCTTGAGCGCAGACGTACAGTCTTTGTCCCATTGCCAGATTGCCTCTTTCTTCTGCAATCGGCGCAAGGGAGCGGCGATAGTGGAGAAGTTCCTCACGAACTTCCTATAGTAGTTAGCTAAGCCTAGGAACGACCGCAACTCTGTCAATGTGCGGGGCGTCGGCCAATCTCTAATCGCCGCGATCGTGCTGTCCTCTGGCTTGATGCCATCTCCGTCTAATACGTGGCCCAAGTATAAAACTTGCGTCTTGGCCCACTCGCACTTCTTCGCGTTGATCTTGAAGTTAGCCTCTCTAAGCTTTTCCAAGACCTGCCTCAAATGCCCCTGATGCTCCTAGAGGGTCTTACTAAAAACTAGGATATCGTCTAGATAGACTACTACAAACTTATCTAACCATGGTCTAAACAGGTCATTCATACAACGCTGAAAAGTGGCTGGCGCGTTGGTTAGTCCGAAGGGCATCACTATAAACTCATAGTGCCCATATCTAGTCCGGAATGCAGTCTTATACTGATCATCAGGATGGACTTCTATCTGATCGTATCCGGACTTCAAGTCTATCTTGGAGAAGTACTTACAACCCTGCACCCGATCTAAAAGATCGTCTATCCTGGGCAGCGGCTCAGCATTCTTCACGGTGATCGCATTCAAACCCCTATAGTCTATGCACATACGAAGCTCTCCTTCCTTCTTGGGGACAAACAAGACTGGTGCTCCAAAAGGAGACGAACTGGGCCTGATCCAACCCTTCTCAAGGAGTTTGTCTAACTGCTTGCGAAGCTCCTCTAACTCTCTAGGGGACAT